TTGGTTGGCTATTTGTATGTTAATTTGCTTATGTGGTTGGCTAATTGGATGTTGGGTTGCCTTGTTGGTTGGCAATTTGGTTGCTGGCTTGCCTTGTTGGTTGGCTATTTGAATGTTATGTTTCATATCTGCTTGTTTGGTCGAATTCTGTAATGGCATTCTGGCTTTCTTGTTGCCATGACTATATTTATTAATATTATTGATGATGGACCAATCTACTCTTTTCAAAATTTCTTTATCTATATTTTAGATAATTCATACAGCTCTAATCAATTATCGCCTATCAATACCTGATTTCACATGTAATTTCTTCCTCTTTGTTGTCTTGCATATGAGGATGTGGAATTCGCTTTGGCCCAGATGTAGGGGAGGATTAATGTGGTCGAGTTGGAGGAAGAGTGTTGAGAACACGAAATGCTGGATAAGGAGTTGCTAACGTGATCAGTGAAATGTGAATGATGAGTTGTCTGGTGAGGTGGTGCTCGAAGCGAGAGTAGCAGGGAAAATGGGCAACATGTCGAATAAAAGAATTTATTTGCATTCATAAACAACATTCCACTCATTTCGAAATGTTGCGGGATTAAGTGGTACCCTAATTGAAAAGCTGCAATGTCTTTCTATATTAATCTTTCCATCTTTCTGTCTGTCTGTCTGTCTGTCTGACTGTCTGACTGTCTGTCTGTCTGTCTGTCCGTCTGTCTGTTTATCTGTCCATCTCTCAACCTTGCGAAATAACGGACCGCACAATTTTGCCGTCGTTTCTATGCCATGCAAATGGTCTGTACACTACACGAAGCCCATTCTTATGAGTGTAACTGAGATGGCAAAAACATAAACCGTTAAGACGTAGTCAAGGTTACAGTGCCTCTGGCCGTAATTCCTGGTAGTGGAAAAAATTTTATGCATGGTAAGCATGAAGTATGAACACAGCTCGCCTGAATGCAGAGTATGCGCGCACGCTCTTTGTGGACGCAAGTGCGTCCGTCCACGCCATCCAACGTCTGCAGTCGGATCCAGCGTGGCCATACTTTGTGCCATTTCACGCGATGCTAACCGTCGTCCAGACAGAGAATGTTGACGCGACGTAAAGCCGGCCAACAGCGTCCACATTTGGGCAAATGTACTGGCTTCCGCATGCAGAAGAGATGCTTGCCATGCCTGGACACCGGTCGCATGTGACCGGCCCTCATCTGCCCGTTGTCCCAGCAACAGTCTCACGGACACCGGTCACGCCCAACGGCCTCCGAGGCTCCGGCCAACTCAAAAGTCTGCTGCTCACGGTTGCCAGTTGGTCGGATTATGAGTGATTCGACCACCGTGCCAAATGGCACAGGGTCACCAGAGAGGTCGGAAGACGAGCAGAAGAGCTGGCAAATGTCGAGGCTACCGAATACCTCGAATCATCAGCATGACTACAAGTTTATGTATTTATTTATTTAGCTTACAATTGCTGGTTTAGTCAATAAAGTCTCAGCCTAGCAGCAGGTAGATGAGATGTTAATAAACGGTTTGTTTAAATGCACCGACTGACAATGAAATTTAATTTGGTACATGCATTAATTGTCATTTGGTCAGCTTACTATGGATATGTGACTAAACTAACTAGTCGGTTGCTGAGGCAGCCGACGCTGAACGCGTTGGTGATAAATATAGTGAAGTGGGATCGATTGATGGGCGTGGAGAGCGGCTGAATTTGAGACGCATAAAGAAGGGAGGAGAGAACAATGAAGTGGATTAAAGGTTGTGTGGATGGATGGAAATCAAGCCGGCTCACCGGAGGGGAGTAGGGCAGTTTCAGTTATATGGCCGAACAGATGAGGGATTAGTCGAGTATTCGGGAGAAGAAAGAAGTTGACAACCAGACGGACGGTCAGATGGAGGGATAGAGCTGGACGAATGGAAATGCGAACAAGTAGTTGTTTTACAAAATAATTAAGTAGGTGGAAGGCAAGCTTGTCCAGAATTTTATTATTTTGTCATCATTATACCAGTCGAGACGATTGGCTGGATAGAATGTCGCTTTTCATATGTTTCTCATTTAAATTTAATCAGTTAATTCAGTAGGCATTTTACTGCCCAGCCGATCAGTCAGCCTTTATGCTCATTAGATGAGGACTGATTTGGCCAATACCTTGGCAACTTGGTTTGTTGTTGAGTGCTTCCGAAAGTTTTTTCCTTATTTCGTTGATGTGTTGAGTTAGTTTAAACAGGATTTCTCGGTTTTTTCGTCTGCCAGTCGGGTGAAATTCGAGTTTTTAAAGTTTCTCAGCCGGTTGCTAGGGTAGCATAGGTGTTGAGCTTCCATGTCGAGTGACAGCTTACAGTGAAGATATTCCACTTTCGAGTCGACGAACGAACAACCGACTCTTAGAAGTGGGTTGACCTCGTTGTCGCAACTTGGTCTTGTTTTCAGGGAGACCATGTAGAACGCACCTATATACGAAGAAAAATTGGGTTTCGAGGAATCTCCTGTTTCATAATTGTTGGGATTACTTCCATTTCGA